CACCATCCAGGGAAGATGTTGCTGATGTGTGGCACCTGAATATCTGTTCTCAGATTCTCTGTGCCCTTATTCAGAGCATCAGGGTTTCAAAGTCTGATGCCACTAAGATCATCTAAGTATTTCTCTTTCTCCAGTTCTAAGCAGCGTCCTGATGACAATGATTTGGTTCCCATATAGTTTTTCTGTAGTGGAGAGAATGTGTCAACCCGCCGGACATTGAGCATATAAATTTTTCATTGTAGATCAGTAAAGGTGACTGTTTTCGACATCATTTTGTGAATTTGATAGTGTACATCAGATTCTGAAGCACTTCATTAGTGTCAAAGGTGAGGGCCAGATTCTGGACCATGATGCTATAGTCAAGTAACTATCCAATGGGAATCTCTTCCCCAAGGACCACCCCATCCTATTTTTCCTCTAAACAAAACAATGATATCTTACTTTCTTTCAGTAAGCAGGGCTCTAGTTTTCAAACCTAAAGGTCTTCCAGATGGACGCAGAGGGGAGAGCTACAGATGCTGAATGTTTTGGAGAGAGAAGTCCAAAAAGACACTTAACCAAGGTAAGTGAATAGGAAGGATTGGTGTGATGGACCTAGTAAAAATTACAGCCTGGATGACTTTTTTAATTATTTATTTTTAGAGACAGGGGGAGGGGCAGAGGGAGAGAGAGAATCTGAAGCAGACTCCCTCTATGGGGTCTGGGAGGGAGCCCAACATGGGGCTTGATCCCAGGACCCTGAGATCATGACCTGAGTTAAAACCAAGAGTCAGGGTGCCTGGGTGGCTCAGTTGGTTGGGTGACTGCCTTTGGCTCGGGTCATGGTTCCGGGGTCCTGGGATCGAGCCCCGCATCAGGCTCCCTGCTCAGCGAGAAGCCTGCTTCTCCCTCTCCCACTCCCCCTGCTTGTGTTCCCTCTCTTGCTGTCTTTCTGTCAATTAAATAAATAAAATCTTCAAAAAATAATAAAAAATAAAACCAAGAGTTGGACACTTAACCTACTGAGCCACCCAGGCGCCCCTCCTTTGAAATCTTAAAGAGAAACTCTAATTTCTAAAGAATGATACAAGCTTGTACTTTCTCAAGCAGCACGAGCAATATATTGCTTACAGGCAACCTAAGGAAATATAATTACTCTTCACCTAGTTTTTGAAGAGTAGAGACTGTAGGTAAGTAGGTAGTTTTCCCTAACACTAATTTTTTTTTTTAAAGATTTTATTTATTTATTTGAGAGAGAGAGAATGAGAGATAGAGAGGATGAGAAGAGGGTCAGAGGGAGAAGCAGACTCCCCGCTGAGCAGGGAGCCCGATGTGGGACTCGATCCCGGGACTCCAGGATCATGACCCGAGCCGAAGGCAGTCGCTTAACCAACTGAGCCACCCAGGCGCCCCCCCAACACTAATTTGCCCAAGATTGGTATACTTATCCCTTTCACATTCTACTATTTATCACTCTGGATGATCCTGAATTACCTGGATTCGTTTTTAGTATTTTAAGTGTTCCAGAATCAATCACGATAGGGAATTTTATAGATTTCCCAATATGTGTCACTACTTAATCTCTTCTCCCTATTATCTAATCTTTTCTCCAGGTCATTGTGATCTATCTCAATTACTGAGAAGAGGATAAAATCAAGATTACACAATGCATGTCCCCTGTTCTGCACAGAGGATATTTTCCTTTTTGATTTTTTTTTTTTCCCCCAGACAAGATGACCAAGCCTGATGCAACAGTGTTAAATGACTTGTGGAAGATGTGCAGGGTCAGAGAACCTGGTCATCTGGGTTTGCATCTGGAGAAGGTAAAGACGCATGCTGAAGAAGGAAGAGAAGGGGTATCCTGCAGGAATGCCCAAGGGAACAGTGCATGCACACATATACCCAAAGCTTTCCTAGGACAGAGTTACTGTAACCATAATCATCTTTGAGAACGTTCATTGTAAGTGTCATGAATTTGAGAGTTTCCTCTAAACCTGAACCTACTGGACAGACATTCCTTGTGTTACAGGCAGCATGAGTTCCAGCCAGATTTCACTGCAAATGAACCCTCAGAGACTTAACATGCAGAAGAAATCTTCAAAGTGTAGTGAATGTGGGAAGTTCTTTACTCAGAGATCATCTCTTACCCAGCATCAGAGGATTCACACAGGAGAGAAGCCCTATGTATGTAGTGAATGTGGAACTTGTTTCCGTAAACAGTCAAATCTTACTCAGCATTTGAGGATTCACACAGGAGAGAAACCTTATAAATGTAATGAATGCGAGAAAGCCTTTCAAACAAAAGCAATCCTTGTCCAGCATCTGAGAATTCATACTGGAGAGAAACCCTATAAGTGCACTGAATGTGGCAAAGCCTTTTGTCAGAGTCCATCCCTTATCAAACACCTGCGAATTCATACTGGAGAGAAACCGTATAAATGTGCGGAATGTGGCAAAGCCTTTAGTCAAAGCATTTGCCTTACCCGTCACCAGAGAAGTCACTCTGGAGATAAACCTTATAAGTGTAATGAATGTGGGAAAGCCTTTAATCAGAGCGCATGCCTCATGCAGCATCAGAGAATTCATTCAGGAGAGAAGCCTTACACATGTACTGAATGTGGTAAAGCCTTCACCCAGAACTCCTCCCTTGTTGAACATGAGAGAACTCACACTGGAGAGAAACTTTACAAGTGTAGTGAGTGTGAAAAAACTTTCCGCAAACAAGCACACCTTAGTGAACATTACAGAATTCATACTGGAGAAAAACCTTATGAATGTGTTGAATGTGGGAAATCCTTCAGGCACAGCTCAGCACTTGTTCGACATCAGAGGCTTCATGCTGGAGAATAAAACTTGGGATATAACCAGTGTGGAAAGATTTGTATGAAAGTGCCATTTCCCCCCCTCTCCAAAATTCTTAGGAGTTTAAGACTCAGTCTTCAGCTGGGACAAATGTTCTGTATGTTGAGCAAGATGCAATGTGTCCTGAAAGTTAAGAAAATCGACTCAGAACTAGATAGTCTTGAGTTTGGGGACTTCTCTGCCACTTAATGGGAGTAAGACCAGATCCTCTCTCAGCCTGTTTTCCCCATCCTCCTCAGAAGAATAATGGGGATACTTACTAGGGTTGTCTTGAAAATAAAGTAAGTTGTATGTAATAAATAACTGTCATTAATTGGTTTTGAGTTATAGATGTTCCAAACGTATATAAATCTAGCTACTGAAAACAAGCAAAGTTCAGCATTAGTTTTTGTTCTCAATGTGTTTTTTAGGAACTTTTTTTTAAACAACATTCTTGAAATTGGGCTGATTTCATGCTTAATCTACAGAAAGTAAATGTCTGAAAGACATTACATCAGAAAGTAGATTTAAACAGAACACAATTTAAGACCAGTTTATCCTTGAGAAAATTCAGATTTAATCAGAGAAAAAAGAAATTATTGGGATTTGAGTGGACATTGTGAAGTGTACTTCTGGGTACCCTGAAGAGCTTTTTTAGATTTTGATACCTCCCACTGTTGGATCTTCACTTCAAGCTCTAGACCTCTCTTTTCCATGAAAAGGGGAGCCTTGCTAACACTAAATAAAAACTTGTGTTGTAGGACTTTTGTGTGTGTTGTGGGGAGAAGCAGGGAGGGGGTTGGTGAGGAGAAGTTACATGAGAATAAAGAGGGGTGGAAATAGAAGAGAACATAAGTACATTGATTAGTATGTGGCTGTACTTGTTTGGAATTTGTAACTAAATAAAGAAAATTTCACTTAAAATAGAGTTGGGAGGCCAGAGGGAGGAGCTCACACATACCACACCTTGCAGCCCTCTGCAGAACCAACAGAAAGAGCCATACCTTGCATTCCTAACAAGAAGCCTACTTTACTAACCTCCAGCAGGAAGAAAGAAGATTATCTCCTTGCCTGGCAGCAGCCCAGCCAATGAGCCCGTCACAACTCAGCCAATGAAAAGCCATTACGTTTCAAACTCTCAGTGTACTCCAATGGACATTTAGTTTATAACAACAACTCCACAAATTTCCCCTTTCCTCTGTAAAAGAGCAGTCCCCTCCTGACTTGCCTACAGTTTTGTAGTAGGTTGTATGTCCTGAATTGCAATTGTCTACTATTCTCAAATATACTCATTATACTGGTAAAATAATTGACTTTTATTTTTAAGGTTGACAAATTCTAGAGCACAACACTAAAGGGGGCCTCTTAAGGGAAAAGGAGGGCAGGAGACATTGAATTCTCAAGTGTCAGCAAGTGGTACTACTGACCAACAACTTTTGGTTTATTCTCGTGTAACAAGAAGTCCAGAGGTTGGCAGCCCGTGGCTGGTGCAGCAGCTCCTCGAGGCTTGCTATTAGGATCCAAGTGCCTTGAATCTTTCCACTGTACCACCCAGAGAGAAAGAATTTGCCTTCCTTAGGCCAAAAAATGGCTCCAATACTCCTAGGTTTCATGTATATGCTCCTGGATGTAGCAGGATGTAGCGAGAAGGACAAAGGTTTGTGCTTGCCAGATCTGCTTTCTTGTATCAAACGCCTGGTAGCTTTATGAAGCAGACTTCTACTTGTATCTCTCTTTTTTATGGTGTTATTAACTACAGTCTCCATGTTATACATTAGATCCTCTCTTCTGTCAAGATCCCTTTTATTAGAAGCTCACTTGTACAGATCCACTTTTATCTCTAAAATTGCCAGAGTTGTTATATGGCTACCTTTAGCAGGAGCTGGAGAAGTATTCTTAAATAGGCACATTATCATCTTCCTCCAAAGTGGGCTTCTGCTAATGAAGAAGATCTGTTTAATGACAAAATTCTCTGTAGCAATTATGTTAAATTTTTGAATTTTACTGATCTGGAAAAATGCTCAGAATATAATGTCATGTGAAAAGCAGGACAGAAAACATATGCAATATAATCTCAATTTTGTTTAAAACATACCCCACACGTGGGAGTTCCAAAATGTTAATAGTACTTAATATCTACAGAGTTAGCCCCATGTCAAAGGGGTATTGGTAGATAAAATTTTTATCATACTAAATTTTTTTCTGAATTTTCTATAATGAACTTGTATTATCTTTAAATAGAAAAAAAAAGTGTCACTGTAAAAAACATCCCATATACTTGTAAGGATGACTAAGTCCAAAATATTTACACTTACTCAGTTTCATCTTCATTCTCAAAAGAAAGGAGGCAACTGTTTTTGATTTGCTTTTGTGAGTTCTTTTTAACTGAGTCCTGCTTATTTATTTCATCTTCGTTTGCCTTCCTCTTTTTTGAGCTTGCTGTTAAACCTGAATATTTTTCATCCGAGGAACGTTTGACTGGTTTTCGATACATGATTCTTCCATCAACTATAGCTGGTTCTTCATCTGCAGCAAAAACAAAGTTAAAGAACTTTCTTTTCTCATTATTTTGTCTTTATTAGAGACTCAAATGGCAAGAAGATCTCAGATGATAATGAACGATGTTCTAAGTCAATTCAGTCTGGTCTTCTCCACTGTTTCTAGCTACACCCACAGGACATGTAGTCCCTTAAAAAACACTCACTTCCTGAAGTACTCCATCATATTGCCAGTCCCCAAATAATTACAGTCACGCTGTATTTTTAAGTATTATGAAAAGTGATTGTTTGGAACTCCAGGATTTTTCCTCAATGCAATGTAATAAATGTTCAGGAAAAATGAAAACTATACCATGTAGCATATCACGTGTTAGGTACTGATTAAATACACTCTGTTGACTAATTTGTAAAATTAACCACCTATTTTTTTTTTTACAGGATGTTTTTATTTAAATTTGCACTTAATCCTCATAACAACCAGGTAAGGTAGGTACCATTATAGTCCCCACTGACTGATGAGGTAGCTGAGGCTGGGATGTGAAATGACTTGTTCAAGATCACGTATCTGGTGCGTGTTAAAACCAAAGTTTGAACCTAGGACTGTCTCCTTCAAACATACCATACTATTACATAAGACAATTTCATATTCCAGGCTTCCTACACTGTTAGAAAAACCAGATTACTTTCAGACATACCTGCTTTGGCAGCCTTTATTTCTGCTTTAATTTTCATGACTTCATCAACTGACAGGTCTCCCTTTTTTAAAACCACCACTTGGGGCTGTTCATCTTCTTTGTCACTGTGATCACCATCTTCATCTGGGAGCTGAGGCTGGATTCTCTGGGAGAAAACACAAACACAATATGGAGGCTGCTGACCTTGAACCAAATACAACTGCTGTCTCTGTGAGACACTGTGATGACTAAGTGACAAGGGTAACCTGATTCACTAAATATATTTGGCAAAGAATTTTCAAGTAACTCTTAAGGGCCTAACCTTGCCACACTCGGGATGAGGTCTATCTGCCACTAACCCTGCAGTGCAGACCCAAAAGGATTAATATCCTTCTCAGTAGGACCCCAGTCTGCAGTTCCCAGGGTCAGGGGCCTCTGCTCATGGACTGCCAGCATGCCCAGCCTCCTCAGGGCATGCTGAACCGCATCCATTCTCTCTGCTCTTCATCGACTGTTTTCACTTCCATCACCTCTCAAAGCCTGACAAAAAAAAAAAAAATCAACCCCAAAATACAGAAAGCAGCAAGTAAAAGGTAGTCTTTCTCCCACTTCTGATGATCTCTCCTCCCTTCCAACGGCTTCAGTTTTGTGGGCATCCTATCAGCTGTTTTCTAAGTGTATAAAAACATGGAAGTATAGAAACCATTCTGTATACAAACAGGATACTGTACATCGTACTATCTGACTTGCTTTCTTTTCTTTATTAAAGTTCCCAAACATAAAAAAGTACAGAGAACACCAACACAAACCATGTATTCAGTATATACATGTAACAAGTGGTAGCCTTTGGCCAGTTGATTCAGAGTTTCAAAAAATGTTAGATACCATAAAAGTCCCTCTCCAACTTTTTTACTCAAAAAATATCTTTGTATAATACCTTGGAATTATCTATTAATATGGAATTATCTATTTTAAAGATTTTGTTTAAGGATTCTATTTGTCAGAGAGAGAGAGAGAGAGAGACAGCACACAAGCAGGGGGAGCGGCAGGCAGAGGGAGAAGCAGACTCCCCGCTGAGCACGGAGCCTGACGCAGGACTTGATCCCAGGACCTTGGGATCATGACCTGAGCTGAAGGCAGATGCTTAACCCCGACTGAGCCACACAGTCATCCCTGGAATTATCTATTTTAAAAATCACTGCCTAGTATTTAACTATATATGTGGTCATCTCATGGTTTATTTGGCCAATACCCTGTAATAAATTTTGGTTGTTTCTAGTTTTGTTTCCACTATGCACATATTTTTGTTTACCTTTTTCTACCACGTACTTGTTTTTGGTTCACTGTTGTGAACTCATATGTAAGATAAATTCCTGGAAGTGGAATTGTGGGTTGAAAGGCAGTATACCCACCACACATTATTCAAATAACTTGTTATTCCACCTCTCACAGAGCCTTCCTTGTCTCCCAAACATGGCAACAGAGCACTCCAGGATCTGGCCCATGAACACAGCTTTATCCTATACCATACTCATGACCTCTGGACTCCAGCCAGGTTGGAGGATTGCATATCCATGAACATATTAGCTCCTTCGCCTCCCTTGTCTCTGAACAAGTTCCCAGTGCCTCGAAAGCCCCGCTGCCCCTGGTCCACACCTACTCTAGCTGCCTTCTAAGACTTAGATTCTTCAGAAGTACTTTCCTAATGTAGCCTCATCTTCTTTCTCACACTGTGCATAGCTCATAGGGAGCATGTGCCATACTGAGTTATCCATATTTTTCTATCTGGTTCCACTAGGTAGCTCCTTTGAGGTACTATGTGTTTCATCTCTGTATCTAGAGGCACAGAGCTTGGCAAACATCAGGGATTCAAGGAGTATCTGTTGATCTACTCATGAATGACTAATAGGATGAAAAATGAACTACCTAAAGCCCTGGCTGGCAAGTCACTCACAGGCACATTCATTCATTTTGTCTTAATCACTTGACACAAGTGCATGCTCTTTAATAATATCCATGTTAGTTCACTGACTACTCATTAGTTTTGCATATTTTTTTCCCAGTAAGACAAAGATTCCAATAAGTGACCACAAACTAGTAGGTAATTATTTTTCACCAAGAATATGGGAAAGTGAAATAAAATAAAATAATTCCTGGGGTGCCTGGCTGGCTCAGTTGGTTGTAGAGCATGTGACTCTTGATTGTTGAGTTCAAGCCCCACAATGGGTGTAGAGACTACTTAAAAATAAAATCTTAAAAAAAAAATTCCTGGTGTTCAATAGCTTGAGAATCATTAATTCTGATTCTTTTTGTTTACACAACTGCCTGGAAAATAAGAAACAGTCAAAGAAACAGTGGCTGCTCAAAGCCACTCCTGAATTAACTCTCAAGAAGGTGAATAAGGTAATTTAGCTCAATTATATAATGATTTCCCATGAAACACTTCTTTTTGTTAACACATCACTAGAACGATGGTTATACTGCCAACCTGATTAAGAGTGCAGTTGGTTTCTCAAACACAGAAACATGGGGTATCCCTCTGTGGAAGTCTCTTAATTAAGTCAGTCAGTCTAAATCATTGGTATGAACTGGGAAAGCAGCTGTCCCCACCCCAAGTTCTCCTAAAACAGCATTCCGTGCTAGAATCTTCAAGGTGTTAATTATGTACACATGATCATCACAAGGACCTCAAGCAAACTATAAAATTAGGTTTCATATTCTCATTGCTAAATCCATGTCTCTTTCCTCAAATCTCATCCTCTTTGTCATTATCACTGTTTTTGGTCCTGGGGGAATCCGTCACTCCCTGATCATGTTATCTCCAACCAAAAATGGCTCCTTGTTGCCTACTGAACGGGCCATGTGGCCTCCCCTCCCACAATTCCTCAATCACCTCTACACACAGTCCATGACTCATCACCTTTTTTTTTTCAAGATTTTGTTTTTAAGCAATCTCTAACACCCGATGTGGAGCTCGAACCTACAACCCTGCGATGAAGAGTCACGTGTTCCACTGACTGAGCCAGCCAGGTGCCCCGTTGTCTCACCATCTTTACACCTTTATCCACCTTTCTTTCCATCTCTACCTGCTGTCCTACCCATGCTCAAGATTCTAAGTATCCCTTCGTCCATGAAGCCTTGCCTGATAAGCACAGTCAATACAAATGGTCACCTACTACCTGGTGCCAGGCACTGTGGCAGGTGCTGGGAAAATACAGAAAGATTAAGATGCTAACTTAGAGAGTTTGATTTAGTGCTGGTGATACACAGGAGAGCAAGTAGTTGCAATGCAAAATGATGAATATCTCAGATATGGACAAAGTGAAGAGAAAAACAGAGGAAAAGTCATTGGAGGAGTTTTGAAGAGGTTCACAGAGGTGTAACCTGTGAAGGCAGAGATCAGGCAGACAGGAAGGTTATAAAAGAATATGGTATTTTGGAGATCCATCTCTTTGTCCTTTAAAAGCCTGGCACAATGCCTGGATTTAGCACATACACACTGGATTGAGTAATTTCACACAAGTCAATCTTGTTTCCTTTCCTAAACTCTAAGTGACTTGAGGAGTGGGTATTAGTGAAAGTACTAGACATAGAGTGCTAAATGACGTCTTTATTTCTCCACACAATCCCTAAGCATAACAGTCTCTTCCTATTGAAAGAAGTAGGGCAGGTTTTGGTGTGAACCAGTTAGCCCCTGGGAGGGCTCAGACTGATTCCCACTGATTCTCATCCCTAAACTATTCAGGTGTTGTTCGTTCCCGAAGCTCCTCTTCTATTTAGATCCAGGATATTCTTAAACATGCTTTTTTTGCGGGCGGGGGCGGGGAGCGGTAAACAAAGCATAAAAATAGATCTAGGGCATTCTTCCAAAAATGCTCCAGACTCCAGGCCTAGGACATCAGGCCATTTGATCAAGTGGCCTCGGTTTCTTTATCTGGAAAACGGGACTAAGCTACCACTTATCCTGCTAACTATAGGTTTTGGGATAAGCAAATAAAACGAGAGAGGAAAGTGATCTTTCTTAACCATCTACCAAAGACGAAGCGCTTTATCGGCGTCAAGTCATTTTCAAGAACACAACAGCACTACGAAAAACGACAAACAGCATCCTGGGCATACGCAGCTGTAGTTGTTTGAAGAGGACCAGCCTGGGGGCTGAGGCCCATCCAGATTCCCGACTGGGCGCAGGTGAGAGGGGGGACCTGTCAGTGCCTGCCCTCCAAGGCAGAAGCCGGAAGTGTCAGGGTAGTCCGCGTTTCTCAGGTAACGCGACTGGCCTGGGCTCACCTTGGTTTCCACGGTAGGCCCTTCCCTGTAGCCGACCTGTTCCTTGAAGCGAGCCAGGAACGCCGGTTCGGCTGGCCGCACGTACGAAACCTGGTTCCGCTTGCTCATAGCTGCTCCGAGGGAAAACAAGTTACCGGGGCCTCCTGGAGATGGTACATTGGCGACGGCGCCTACTCGTGACGTCACGTAGCCCCGCCCCCTAGCCAGAGGCCGGGCAACATGGCGGCCTCCTTGCTGACGTCAACGTCCGACCCGAGCGCCAAATTCAAATTTGCGGCCATCTTGAGCGTGCGGAATCCCGGCGTGTCGCGCGGCTGGAGGTGGGGGTATCCTCTGCATTGGTTTTGGGATCCAGGGGTGAGGGCGCCATGGCGCCCGGCTGCAAAAGTAAGTAAGGAGCCCCGGCTTCGTGACCCCGTCCCCGTCCCCAAATACAGCAGTGAAGGACGGCCCCCCGCCTAGGGTTCCCGGCTGGGCGAGAAGGGCAGGAGTGGACTGAGCGGCGCCGGGCGTTTGGGACCTCTCTGTCCCTCAAACAGACAATACGTGGCTGGAACAGCTGTCTTCCCTTCTATCTGTGTATTGGGCCTGCGCCACGAGCCAGGCACAGCTCTAGGCGCTTGGGCTGAGCAGTGAACCGGAGAGCCCAATCCTCCAGGAGCTTGGCGCCCAGCCACCTGCTGGTTTCTTCCTTCCGGTTCTCTGTTCTGCGACTGGGGCTGCCTCTACGTACCCTTGCCTGAGGTTGTCACCTTCTTCTGACTCTCACCACCTCCTGCATATTTCCACATCACTATCCTGAAGGGGAGAACTTACTCATGTTCCAAGCACGTCTTTCTCTTCTGGAGGGCCTGCTGTAGAATCTCTTTAGATAAGCCCTGGGTTATCACAAATCCCTATTTTCTTCTCAAGGGGACCCGTTCGGTTTCTTCCTGTTTTCTTGGAGAGGAGCACTGCCAGTTTTTGCTTTTGTTAAACCCTCCAATTTTCACTAATTTCTTGGTCCTTTGCCGTTCTTGTGTACGTGCCCCATCTCTTAACATTGCCTAATCCTTTAAGGAGTCTTGTTTTTTAAAGCTGATTTTGAACTAATTCGATAGATCTCGGTGAATGGTATAAATGGCAATGAGGAGAGGCCTATGTTAGAAGACTGGTGAAACTGAAGTTTTGGGCTTTGACGAGACTTCCAACAACGTTAATCCTTCAAGCTGTCAATTGTAATTGTCTTCTGATGTCTTTGTTGTTTCCTGAACTTTCTAGGTCATCACACCATTCACTGCCTACTCATTGTGCTCTTTTTCCGTCTAAAATGTTTCTCTTCTCTCGCCATTTTTTCAGGATTCAGGGAATAGTAGCACACAAATTGGTACGTTTTTGGACTGAAATGTTCGTTGGGCTTCCTGCACAACCACAGTATTTGTTCTGTAAATCTGGACTCAAACAAGACAGTTGATACCTGTGATATAATTAGAGCATCTGCTTACATAATGGAAAGTGACGTATGTCTATTAAAGGACTCTGTCCTGTCTATGTACATCACTTTCTAGAAGTGATGGGAACAAGGATATTGACAACTCCTCTGTGTGAAAATGGTGATTTCCATGGGGAACTCTTCAGTTCCTTGTAGTCTGTTAGCAACCTTGAGGTTGATGACATCCCAGGTAAGTAAGTGCTCCTTGCATTCCCAGCAGTCCAGAGAGCTGGAGCATGAATTGGGGAACTCACTCAGTGCTGTCCACAACTTTTGTGCCGATGAATGTTATTTTTTGTGACACCATTAGTAACATGGGTTGCTGACTGAAATCAGAGAAATGAAAATGTGAAGTACAGTCCCAATGAAACTGAGTTCAAGATTCCCTTTCTGAACTTAATCGTGTTTGGTCAAATGATCCATAGGTATTTATTTGGACTGCAGAATAAAGTATCTTATGGGTTTGTTTGTTTGTTTGTTTGTTTTACAGCAGGAAGACCCTTTTAAAAAAGATTTACTGTTTTGTTGAGGATTAATATATATACAGCAAAGGACACAAATCTTAAGACTACTATGCGATAAATTTTTACATAAGAATACACTTGTCGGGCGCCTGGGTGGCTCAGATGGTTAAGCGTCTGCCTTCGGCTCAGGTCATGATCCCAGGGTCCTGGGATCGAGTCCCGCATCGCTTCTCCCTCTGCTTCTCTCTCTCTCTGTCTCTCATGAATAAATAAATAAAATCTTTAAAAAAAAAAAAAAGAATACACTTGTCACTGCCACCAAGATCAAGAAAGAATGGTTCCTATGCCCCAGAAAGTTCCCTGTGGTCCTTCCTAGTTAACAACTACACTGTTAACTACAGTGTAGTTAACAGCTACACTGATTTCTATCACCATTGACTAGTTTTGCCTATCTTTGAACTTCATGTAAATGGTACAGTATTTATTCTTTTTGTTCTGGCTTTTTACTGAACATTATGTCTGAGCACTGTTTATCTGTTGTCTGTGGCAGCAGTTAATTCTTTTACATTGCCATTTAGTGTTCCATCCTGTCAGTATGCCACAATTTGTTTATTCTTTTGGTGTACATTTGGGTTTCTAGGTGGGCTATTATGAATAAAGCTGCTGTAAATATTCTTCAACATATTTTAAGGTAGATGCATTGAGGACCTCAGCTAAAAGAATTGTAGTGCCTATGAAGGACCCTTGTTGTGTCAACCTTTGACAGCAGCCATGTGATAAATTTTTATATTCTGTTTATTTATTTTAAAGATTTTATTTGAGAGAGAGGAGAGACAGAGACCGCCACAGAGATAATGAGAGAGAGAGCATGAGCGGGGAGGAAAAGGAGAAGCAGGCTTCCCGCTGATCAGGGAGCCCGGCGTGGGACTTGATCCCAGGACTCTGGGATCATGACCTGAGCCGAAGGCAGATGCTTAACTGACTGAGCCACCCAGACGCCCCCAAATTTTTATATTCCGTTTAAACGTTGCTTAAGATACAGCGCACTGAGGTGGTTAAGAATGTGCGCTCTGGATCCTGAATGCCTGGGTTCACATGACAGCAAGTCTCAGTGACAGCGTTGCCTCAGAACTGAATTAGGCTTAATGCCAGAACTATCTACCTCTGTGTAATTTTTTGTTTCACTTTTTCTCACTATTGGCTTACTAACTTGGCTTTTTTCTTTTTTTTTTTTTAAAGATTTTATTTATTTGACAGAGACACAGTGAGAGAGGGAACACAAGCAGGGGGAATGGGAGAGGGAGAAGCAGGCCTCTCGCTGAGCAGAGAGCCCGGCGCGGGGCTCGATCCCAGGACCCTGGGACTATGACCTGAGCTGAAGGCAGACGCTTAACGACTGAGCCACCCAGGCGCCCCAGCTTTTTTCTTTTCTTTAGTAAACATTTCATTTTGGAGTAATTTTAGGTGTACAGAAAAGTTGTAACAGCTGTTCATCCAGCATCTTCTCTACTCGACTGGACCACCAGACGCTATATGGACCCCCCTCCCTACACTTCAGACTTGAAACTCTAGGCAGTTGAGCTGGGGCAATTAAAGGGCTCACTGCCTTTGTTTCCTGCTCTCAGGGTCACTTTACTGTGCTGTCTGTTGTCCAGTGTCTGAAACTTGTTGCGTGTTTTTTCCCAGTTTCCTGGTTACGTAAGATGACAGTAAATCCAGTCTCTGTCTGGGCCTATTTCTGGTTCCATCTTTACACGTAGGGTGTGGCCTTTCAGCCTCCCATTTGAAAGCATGGGCGTTTAATAGGGCACTGAACCCCAAATTTTGCTCCTCTAATCTGTGAGTCTATTCAAAACTCTGCTCAAAATCTCAGCCTCTTAGCTGCAGCTTGCAGAATCAGTAATCTGCTCCTAGGAAAGAGCAGCCTCAGATGCTGTGCTCACACCTCTGGACTTCCGTCCTCTCTTGGGTTTTGGCTCCATATTTGCTGACCGCCTTGGCAGGTCTCCAGTGCCTCCAAGTAGATGTTTTTTATACTTTTTCTGCTTTTCTAGTTGCTTTCAGGCAGGAGGGTTGGTCTGAAGTAAATTAGTCCTTTAGTTCTAGACTGTACTAGTAAGGAAAGCCTTCCTGTAATAAATTCAGTTTTATTCCAGGACAGAAAAAAAAAATCTGTATCTGAGGAAGCATAAAAAGAAACAAGTTTAAAATCAGTCTATTGGCATGAAGAAGGGCCAAAACTACAATTTAGGGTAGGGTCATTTTTTTCCCCCCTGTGATCCTGCCTAGCACCTCAAATCCTGATTGTATTACTAACGTTAACATGTATGGTGGCTTGAACCTTTCAGTTTTAAGTGGTTAAAAAAAACTGATGTAAAAATGTGTCTTCTGCTGTCATCTTGAGGATTCATGGTTGTTGTAGATGATAGTTGTCTTAGTCTGGGCTGCTCTAACAAAAATAACAAACTGGTGGCTTTTAAACAGTGGACATTTATTTCTCACAGTTCTGGAATTTGGAAAGTCTAATATGGTGTCTGCATATTTGGTGTCTGGTGAGGGCCCACTTCCTTACTGAGGCTCTCTTTTTGCTACAAACTCACATGGTGGAAGGGAAGAGCTGCTTAGGGTGTCTTTTATAAGGACACCCAGTGTCAATCACGAGGGTCCTGACTTCAAGACCTAATCACTTACCAGGGGCCTCCACCCTGGGGGTTTGGATTTCACCATATGAATTCTGGGGAGACAAAAACATTCATACCATAGTAGTGATAAAGAGATGACTTATTCATCATTTGTATAGAATTAAAGGTTGCCTGCTTTTTGTGTGGTACACTGCCTTTATTTTTTTTTTTAACTTCTAAAGATTTTTTCGTTTATGAGAGAGAGAGAGAGCGAACACGAGCTGGGGGAAGGGGCAGAGGCAGAAGGAGAAGCAGACTCCCTGCTGAGCAGGGAGCCTGACTCAGGGCTCCATCCAGGACCCTGAGATCACCACCTGAGCCAAAAGCAGACGCTTAACCGACCGAGCCACCCAGGCGCCCCATAGCATGGTACACTGCCTTTAGATAGCTGAGGTGTGGATGCCTGTTTTGAACTGCCTCCCCCTACAACCTCCTAAACTGTCTGAATACTTGCCTGACCTATGCCTTTGTATCTTTTGCTTACCTTTTCTGCTGTCAGGATATGTGACTCCTGCTCACATCTATTCTAATC